ACACGTATGCACGCACGCATACTCTCACATACTCATAATATTTATAATAATAGATGCATATTACGGTATTTATATAGCGCTCTACCCTGATTATGGTTTGTTTTTATTTTTTTTTGTTTGCTTGAGGAAAGAGAAGCACATTGACACAGTAATGGCCATTTAGTGCCATGAAAAAGTAAAACAAACAGACAAAAACATTAGAGAGAAAATAAAGAAGGACAACCTAACAGTGGCACCCTCCAGCCACCCACTTCCCCTTATTCAAAAATCAGTAACTGCACAAACTATGATAACATCTTTTCAAACTTTACCAATAGAAAAGGGGTACGAAACTGCTTTTGGAAAACACAAGTAAGTACTTTGTTTTAGTAAGAGTTGTACGGCAGTTGCAACACAATAATGTCATACCAATGCCGAGCATTAGTGAATTAAAAGAGTAACCAACACATACAAGAAGTAAGAAAAGATCAGGACGATAGGATGTTTGATAAGAATAAAGGAGAAAACCGTACAAGAGTACACGCAAATCATCCATTTAGTAATACAAACGTCTACTCGGTGATGAAGAGGTTTGAGAAAGAGTTGTACAACAATTTTTAATGTAAGTTACACAGACTTTTGTGTGGCATCCGGGGACTCCCCCCACGTTTCTAACACGTTGTTTCAATGATTAAGACCAGAGAAAGCAGTTATGCTTATTTTAGTAAGTGTTTTACCTCACTTGTAACACAGTAAGGTCACATAAATGCTGAAGATTAGATGTTTTATAAGAGTACAAACATAAAAAAAGATAAAACAGATCACGGCGGTAGATTTTTTATAGGAAAGAAGTCCGGAGCAAGCCACACCAGAGCACCCGCCAACCACCCGTGAAGAAGGAGCTGTTTTATCGTTATTCAAAGCGGAAAACGCAATAAGGTTTTCAATTAGTTGTGGTAGAGGTCACCGCTTTGTTATTTATTGTTCACGGCCCTGGGGCCGATCACCGGTGTCTGACCTTATTACTGAGGAGACTTTACTTCTTTTCTATACCTTTTACACCCTTCCCTTCCTCCCTCCTTCTCTTTTCTCTGGCTGTCAGTGTATCTGTTGGTTCACCTGGGGGAGGGG